CACTTGATGAACAGCTTTCCCTCTCACTGATCAGGTTAAGTAGTATGTCTTCCTCACGATGTCTGTACCAATTCACCAGATTCAATAGATTCTCGTTCCGATCTCAGTCCTCCGGACCAGGGTAGTCTAGACCGGTGACCGTCTGTCTATGAATGCTGTCGATAGACAGACCGGTCGATCGGAGTTTAAAATCTCGTAACGCGCGAGATACCGCATTTGGTATATTTGTAAGCAAGATTTTGGCGGGGCGGAGCCACAGCCTAACAATAGCAAAGCTCCATCAAAAGTTTAGAAATATTTTCTGTGAGCTGAACACTGCGTATTTCGTGGTCAGATAAACTCTAAACACCTTTATATATTGTCTAGACACTGCCTATGTCATAGAGGGTTCATAATAATTGGATTGAAGGCAGGCATTGCTGACTAATTAGCCTTTTATAGTAACCCGCGCGTATCGGCAATTCAAACTCCGATCGACCAGCCTGTCTACCGACACAAATTCTTTCGGTACGACAGGCTGGACTCGAGCCTAAGGGTAGTCACTCGCAACCTATGGGGGGGTTATCCACTGCTGCCCTCCCCACCAGTATTCCCTCCCCTCTACGAGTGGTGTTATAGGGGGAGCGGGACCGGGGACGATTTCGACGCGTGATTGGCGGGGTAGTCTGAGTACAGTATGGCCGGACGTTCTCTCGTGATACTCTCGGTAGATTCAAATAATCACTCCTTAAATCCTCCAGAACAATATAGATCCACGTTGAACAATGCGGCACAACGGCGGGGACAAGTTGTTGAGTCTGCGGACTCATCAACCGGACCCTTGAACAATACACTGTTGTTTATCGTGAGCAATCCATATAGCCTGCCAGAATTTTCATCTCATCTCCTTCTTAGTGAATAATAAGGAACATGGCCGTGGTATTGGCAGACGCAAAGGCTCTGCTCGAGAATCCCCAGCAAGGCAAGTTCTGATAGCGCTGAGGCTCTTGCAGGCTTAGGCCACTCCAGTAACCCATTTTACATACGAAAATTATTCCACTACCAACCGTCACTTTATATTCATATCCAAAGCGTTCTTCCGTGAATAGTACGTACCCCTTTGGTATCCAGTTCCTTGCTCATGTGCTTGGACTTGGTTCGGCGTTGAATTTATGCAATTCTTAGTTAGTTCTGGGCGTCACTGATTTCGTTGAACTCAAATTTAATGGAGCTACAATTTAGCGTTGGGTGATACGCACTTGCCACGTGTCCTATTACATTCCGAGCCATCCCTTGTGCTATGTCATTTGCAAAAGTCGAACCGTGGGAAAGTTGGGAAACGATTGCGCTGTGCGTCGATTGACAGTGCCAATTGCTGCTCTTCAAATTGACAGCGGGGAACGGGGAGGGGAGAAAGGGATGAATCTCAGGTAGAGCATGATTGGCCGCTGTATAGGTGCTTTAGGGAGGGAAGGCTTGGCCAAGACAAAGGCTAGATTTTAACTTCCGTTTCCAAATTTAGACTTACCTCCAGCACCATGTAGCGAAGAAGGTTCGTTCTCAGAGAGAGAAAAAAGCCTGCCAAATCCATGTATCTGGTGATTTTTGCGACAATGTTTTTCGGCAAATGGTTTCGCGTCTGAATTTAAAGATGTTGTTCGATCGTGCAAAGCGAACTGCCTTGGCTTGAACGTGGTTGGGAATAGGTCCATATGGGTATTCCATTGGTGGCCTTGGATGACGGATGCTTCATTTGGAGTTGATTCCGAACGTGAGGTCGGAATAAAATCTCACGCTCTCACGCCGAGACAATGCATGAGATTTGGAAGGACAAGGAGAGAAAGACAAAAAGAAAAACGAGCGTCTTCAGCTATCACCCGATCCCGAATCGAACGGGGTTTCCCTGCATATTGCATTTCCGATCATGCCCTCCACAGATGCGGCAGGTGCACGCCATGTGCCATCAGGTGGTTAGAGACCCTCAAGCTGAACTTGAGTATATGTGAGCAAAATTGTGCAGGCAGTGGCCAATACAAATTTAAACGAGGCACATGATGATTTTTTGTCCACTCTGAAATCCTGACTGCCTCAGTTTGATAATTCGAGTATCCCGAGAGAACGGGCGACGATACAAATTTGAACTGCAGGACACTTGAACCTGAGGCCTGGGTGAGATTTCGTTGGGTTGTTGAGTTGGCCTGTGCGAAGCATTAGTGTCGATTATTGTTGCGGAGCGCAGAAAAAAGAAAAAAACAAGAATTTTTCGAGGTATCACCCGACCCCGAGCCGAACGGGACTCCTGCCTTAGTTTCGAGTTCACATTTAAACTGCGCAGGTGCGCACCAGTGCCATTGGATGGTTGGATATCTGGATAAGGCGTTGAATTCATACTGAGAGGCAGGTTCAACTTCTGCAAGTGGGCTGGATAATTCAAAGTAATGGTTCAACTCAGTATTTGACTGTTTCCACTCATCGAATGCCTCGGTTTGAGTATCCTGAGAGAACGGGCGAAGAAGTAGATATAGATAAAAGAGGACCGGTGAATACCCCTTTGGAGGTCGAATCTCAAAATCGGGCCCCAAAGTGAGTTTTGTCCGAATTATTTAATTTTTCCTGCGGTTTTTGAGGCGGCCAAAATGCTTAGTTCGAAAAGGCGGTCATTTCCTGTCTTTTTTGGGTCGAAAATTTCCGAAAATCTTGTCCGAACTCGTGATTCGACCTATAAAAGGATATTCACCGGTCCTGATAAAAGGGAGCACGGGAGAAAAAGTGTGTGAATGGTGGTGATCACCCGACCCCGAGTCGAACGGGGGTTGTCCTGCTGTATTTAACTGCCTCCAGGATCAAACAGCGCAGGTGCACGCCATGTGCTGCCGGGTGGTTGGATATCTTGATAGTGTGTTGAATTTATGCTGAGAGGGCAGGTTGCAATTTCCTGCAAGTGGGTTTAACGGGTAAATAACGGGTTCTACTCGATATTTGAGTTTGTCCACTCATGGAATGCCTCAGTTTAATAACCCGAGGACGACAAGAGGAAAAAGGACTGGAGAAAATAGTCTGCACGGAGGGATGGCACAAGACCCAACCCCGAATCGAACAAGGGACCTCCTGCATTATATGACGGTATTCATTCATTCATTGGGACTCAAGGTACGCAGGCGCACACCATGTGCTATCGGGTGGTTAGCAGTCTTATTAGACGGTTGAATGCATGCGAACCAAATTAATGCCGGTGGTCGAAGTATTAGTCGATCATGATAAAGGAAGTTTGAGTTGACATCAATTTTTGCGGTCGAACGTGGTAGGTCACTGTAGGTGGGTGGTCTCACACACCGTTCACAGAGAACAGGGACACTGGGACAGACCAAAAAAATTGTACGAAAAAAACGCTCAATGTCAGAATATCACCCGACCCCGAATCGAAGGAGATTCCTGCGTTATATCATACTGCTCGCTGGCAGTGGCAAGGTACGCAGGTGCACACCATGTGCAATCGGGTGGCTATATACCCTCGAGCTGGACTTCAGTTATGTGAACAAAATTGTATGGTGGCCGATACAAATTTAAACAAGCTATACTTGAACCTGAGGAACGGGTGAGATTTCCTTGGCTCGCTGAGTTGGCCTGTGCGAAGCATTGGTGTTGATTATCGTTGCGGAATGCAGAAAAAAAAAAAGGAGTTTTGCTACACGACTAGCACCCAGCCCCGAATCGAACGGGGTTTCCTGCACTATATTATATTACCCTCAACACAAGATACGCAGGTGCACACCATGTGCAACCGGGTGGTCGAACACCTCCAACCTGGGGTTGAATTTATGCGAAGGTGTATTTAGTGGTGGCGCGCATCGATGATTCATCATCGCAGAGAGGTTCGGTGTTTTAGAGGGTTGAGCCGAGGCTGGACTTGGGAGTTCTGGTGTTGAACCCAGAGGATTTAGTTCACAAAAGAATTTTGCGGAGACAGAGAGCAGAGGGCCAAAAGCTTTTTTTTAGAAAAAGAAAAAGCAGTTTCTCCGCGTATCACCCGACCCCGAATCGAACGGGGCTTCCTGCCTTAATTTCGGGCACACAATTAAACTGCGCAGGTGCACACCATGTGCTATCGGGTGGTTGAATACTTCGTTAGGTGGTTGAATGCATGCGAGCCCAATTAGGTGCAGCGGCGGATGGTCGAAGTGTTAGTCGACCATGATAAAGTGATATTCCATCTACAGTCATTCCACGGTCCTTGCATCCACTTTTTTGTTTCAGCCTGTTGGAGACCAATAATAGAGGAGGACACTAGAAGTAAAGGTCAGATACATCCTCTGGCTTCCTCTCTATGATATGGGTAATACATAATTTTGAGGTTTGAAGCCGTTCTGTTACGGTGAGACAATCATTGTCATGCAAGGACCGCAGATCATTTCACCACACAAACATAAATAATGTTTTGGACTCCCATAGGCTTTCAGCCCCATTTTTGACTGTTCTCATATTCTGGGAAGTGTTTTGAGTGGCATTGGAGGATATTGTACCACTCAGATGATCTACTTCGCAAATTCTTCAGGTGTTTTGTATGAATGCAAGGACCGCGGAAAATGCAAGGACCGTGGAATGACTGTACCTACTATGTATATATTTTCAAAGAAAGTCAATCAAATTTCAAAACCCAACTGGACATCGAATTCAACGCAGTTTCGTCTGCATAAAATCAGGCACAGCTTAGACATGTTCAACCACCTGATAGCACATGGTGTGCACCTGCCAACCTTAGCTGGGTCTGAGCTTTCCTATAAGGCAGGAGTCCCCCCCCGTTTGATCCGGGGACGGGTGTTGGGGGATGACTGAAGTTTTTTTTTAAAAAATTTTCGTTCTCTTATATATACCTGTTCTCTCTGCGCTGTAGTGAATTGTCCACATATGATCCCCGACTGCAAAAATCAAAATCACAACCATTGAACCATTGACCCGTGACGGACGTTCTGCGCTTCATTGTCGAAATAAAATGAAAGCAAAAAGACTATCTAGTCCGCGCATCACCCGACCCCGAGTCGAACGGGGACCACCTGCATTATATGACAGGATTCACACGGTCACTGCTAAGAGTCGGCAGGTGCACACCATGTGCTATTGGGTGGTTGAGTACCTTCAAGCTGTGGTTGAATGCATGCGAGCCAAATTAGGGAGCCGGTGGTTGAAGTTGACGAGGGTTGAATTGATAGTAATTCTTGGAGTCGAACATGGTAGGTGGATGGTCTTACACAGAGAACAGGGACAAGCGGCCGAAAAAGATCTACAAAGAAAACTGGTAGAAAACCTGGACATGACCCGACCCCGAATCGAACGGGGCTCCTGCTTTATTGCGCGATGCCAGTTTGAAACTGCGCACGTGCACGCCGTTATCGGGTGGTTTAGTACCTTGGTTGGGAGTTGATTTTATGGGAAGAAACCTGCGGCAGTTGAACTCTGAACACTGGTTGAACTTAGAATTTAATTGGAAGATTATTTGAAGTTGGACCTGCGGAATATTTTTGGGAGAGTGTGAAAGAGACTAAAGACGGTAAACAGGAGCAAAGCACGGAGGAACAAAAAAAAAAGGGGAGTCCTGAACGAATGATCACCCGACCCCGAGTCGAACGGGGACTCCTCCTCCAATTGGGGAGGATATCGGTCATTTACCTGCGCAGGTGCACACCATGTGCTATCGGGTGGTTGGATACCTTCAAACTGTGGTTGGATTTACGTGAACTGATTGCGCAGGCAGTGGCCGATACACACTTAGACGAGGCACTTGAGCCTGCAGACCGGGTGGGACTTAGTTGGCTTGCTGACTTGGCCTGTGCGAAGCATTGGCTGGTCAATTATCTTCGCGGAGGGCAAAAAGAAGGGAGAAAGTTAAAACAGAGTTTCGCGAGGTATCATGTTTGTGAGTTGAAGTGGAACAAAAGTGAAAGTGTATCTGGTGTTGTCATTGATGATTCATCTGGGAGGCTCAATTTTATATGTTGAATTTTGAACGTCGAACTCAGAGAGTCTAGTTTAGATAATCCGTTAGAAAAAAAGGGGAAGAAAAATACGCTGGGCTTTACTAATCACCCGACCCCGAAATTCGAATCAAACGAGGACTTCCTGCCTGAAGAACATCATGGGAAAGAAAGACCATTGACAGCAGGTGCACTCCATGTGCTCTCGGGCGACTGAGTACTTTTTTAGAGGGTTGAACTTACATTAGTACCGTACCAAAACAGAGGGCAGGTGAGCTCCCTAATTTTAATTTCAAGTGAACTGGGTAATTTAATTTACAGTAACGGTTCAACTCGATATTCGTGGCTCGGTTTGATCATCCCTGGGAACCGAACGGACGACGAGGAAAAAGGAAGCCTGGAGAAAAAAGTCTTGACAATCGCAAAGCCAGCACCCGACCCCGAGTCGAACGGGGGACTCCTACTTAAACGTCCGCATCATGAATTAAACATGAGCAGGTGCACGCCGTGTGCTATCGGGTGGTTAGATACCTTCAAGCTGTGGTTGAATATATGAGCGAAATTACGGAGTCTTAGTCGAGGTTTGAATTTTCTTTAATTTTTACAGTCGAACATAGTAGGTGGATGGCCTTACACAGAGAACAGGGACAAGCGGCCGAAAAAGATCTACAAAGAAAAAAGAAAAACAAACGTGGAACACCGCTAGCACCCGACCCCGAGTCGAACGGGGGACTCCTGCTTTTATGTCCAATTCATCAAATTTGAGCAGGCGCACGCCATGTGCTATCGGGTGGTTGAGTACCTTGCAACTTGATTCTTGAGAAGGGTTGGGTATATGTGAGCGATGACTCGAATTCGCCCTCGGGAGTGCCTGTCTTTAATGAGTTTTAAACTAAGTATGCCAGTGCTGGCGAGGTTGTGAATGTTGAGGACGAGAACTTGAATATCGATATCCAGGATCCACGAGATAAGATACGAAGCGGAACCAAAATTAACCCAGCGGAGGAGTTACGACCCGCACCAACCACGCGGGTGGGCTGGATGGACGATTTTGATGTGTGACTTGGAGCGGAAGAAGAGCGGCCGCCGAGATGGATCAAGCAAGGAAAGTGGGTGTTTATAGAGTCCGTCAAAGTGTTTTTTATATAGAGTCCGAGACGTCGACGGACGGGATGATATGCCAGCCCCGGGATCCGGTGGGAGTTAGGGCACTCTAGAGAAGGTATGTCAATGCGCTCACAGGTACGGTTGATTTACGAGTCCGACAGAAGGAAGGAAGAACGAACGAACGGTGGCAGGGATATCATTCCTTCATATACTGTACTATTTCGACCAAATGTTCAGGTGACGGTGACACCCGATTTTTTTTGATGTGCCTAAAAATCGCTATAATTCAGAAGAAAATTTATCGGTCACCTCGGTCGACGAAAATCTAAAAATAATGAACATTTGGTCGAAATAGTACAGTACGCGGTACACCGATGACGAGTGTTATATATGACAGGAGGAATGTTTTGTCCTCGGTCTGGAAATCACACAAGGGCCGGGCATGGAGTGATGAAAGGGACCTGGGATACACCTCGATAAGTGCTACAGCGGGTAATTGTTCATGTATAACGTACAAGTCAGATTGCAGAAGATTCGAGAGATAGGCTCGAGATCCGAGCGGGTGAGGTGTTATTGCTGCACTGTGGACAACGAGAACGAGGGAAGGGAGAAGGAAGGAGAAGACGAGTCAATCGAAACAGCGCGATCCGACGCACATTTGAGTAGAGTCCAAAGGGAAAGTTCAAATTGCTGTCCAAATTGAAAGAAGATCTTATACCCGATCAATGACGTCATCCATTGATCAACCCGCGGTTCGCACCGACGAGACGACGATGGGTATGCTCGCAGTACTAGTGCCTCCGGGCGACCCCTTCAAGGACCACCTCCTCGCCGTCCTCAGCCTCCGCGACGCCCCCCGCGCAGCCGCCGCCCCTGTCCCGCGCTACAGCGGGCCCCCGCGATTGGCAGACCACTTCCTCCTCGTTTGCGCGTTCTAGCTTCCTGGGCGACTGCCATTTCTTGAATAACACCTTGGCTACGGGAGGAGGTGCGGGGGCGAGCACTACCGGCGGCGACGGTTCTCGTGCAAGCGCTGCGGGTGCCGGGATAGCAGGGCGGCGTTACCCCACGCAGGCGAAGGCCGCTGCACCGTTATCGGTGATACCGCCTTCTCGTTCGGTGCTGGTGGCATGTCGGACTCGACACGTACGGACGCCAGCTCCTCCTCAGCGAAAAGACGCGGTGGGATGTCTAGCTGGACATCAGGCTCCTCGTCCGACGCCGGCGCGGGGCTGGGGCTCGCAAGTGAGGGTCTGTACGGGTCCTCCTCGCCGACGGTCATAAGCAGCGCATCGTCATGCTCGCGGTCATCCGCAAGAGATTCGACATGTGCATCCCGGTGTAGTACGTCCGTGACGGGCTCAACGAAGCGGAACTCGGGACGGACGGGGAAACGACGCAAAGGGAAAGAAGACACATCAAAAGAACACGTACCCCGCCTAATCCAGCAAACAAATACTCATCCACCCACGCAGATATTCGCCAGCTCCCATCCTCACCAACAACAAAGAAGCCTTCGACCTCGCTGTCTCAGGTTTTGGGCGAGGTTTTCTTTCAGTTTTTTGCTTCCTTCGGAGAGGTTAGCTGTGCAGAGTGCGGAGGGTGGTGAGACACGCGTTGCGAGATGCGCCTTGACAGGGGATTTATGGAGGTGCGTGGCATTTTTTTGGGCTCCTGGACGGTGCTAACGGCGCTGAGGGTGCCGCGCGCGTTGAGAGCGGCCCGGGGTCATGGTTCACTCGAGGGTATTGCGGCTGCATGCATGTGCATGTGCATGTCGGGCGGCTAAGCGCTAATAATGCGCAAGCGCCTTTGACGCGGATAGGGGCTGACGTTCCCGCTTGCCGTGAGCAAGTGTGCCAGCAGTGCCGTGACTGTCCAACCGCTTTCGGTGAATGAGGGCTCCACAGGCTTGGTCTAGGTCCATAGCCGCCGACGGTGCTGAGGATGCGAGACAGTGTCGTGTGGAGTGTTCTCGCGTCCGGGGGCGAACGCACGCATGTCGTGTGCGAATGCTGCACTCATCGGCAGCGTTGGCTGCTCGCGCGCCTGCCTGTCGAGTCTGGACTTTGTTACCTTGTATAGGCACGGCGAAAAAAGACTCCGTGGGACCGAAACTCTGACTATTATCTTACGCAATTTATACAACCTTCCAATCTGATATCCCTGCACTGCAACTACAGTCTCCAGTCCTGACTGACAAGCGCCGCTCACGCCTCGTGGATACAGCCCCCACCTGTCTCGCTCGCTCTCCCTCCTGTCTTCGTTCCTCTTCGCTGCGTCGCGTACCACTCGTCAAATTTGAGGATGCCTATTTTCCGCTCGCCTAGAATCGCCTCGGACGCCCTCGCTGCGACGCGGCTCACTTTGAAAGCAATCCAAGCATCGACAGACGTCTTTCCTCCCCTCAAATCCGCTGTCTCTGTTGCTATCGTACTCTCAGAGATGAGCGAGGTGAGTTCACTGTCATATGTACATGTGATTCCCGAGGTGCTTGCTAACGGGCACGGTTTGGACGTTCAGAATGTCAAGCGGAATAAGAAGGAATGCGAGCACGTCGCAAAGCGTTCCGCAAAGCTTGTACAAGATATCTGGACCCAGACACGGGATTTTGGTGTTGCACTCCCGGTGGAGGTGGAAAAGAGCGTGGTTGAGATCGAAAGGTATGTCCCTGCTCCGCCGACTTACAGTGCTCGACATTGACCTCGTTTGCAGGCTTTTCAAAGAGATCAAGAAATTCTTCAAAGTCCTCAGGAAAGAAAACATCTGGGAACGATTTGCCCGCCAAGATCATCATAAGGGCCAAATCGAGGAGTATGATAGACTCCTGCAAGAGGCAACGTTGGATTTCAGCGTACGTCTATGTCTTGCCTAGTGCTCATCCCCAAGTGCTGAAACGCGGATGGCAGTTCAACTTGAACCTGAGCATACATCGTTTGCAACTGGAATCTGCTGCCGTCGACGGGAAGCGGCACACCGCTGTGCTGGCTGTGTCGCAAATGACCGAAGCCGAGCGCGTTGTGCGTGTAACATCAGATGCCCTTTG